TTATTTCTCTTCACAACCCTCCTTTAAGCTGAACAGAGAATGGGCAAAGAGGCTTCTCACCCGAGGGGCAGCCTGTGGGAATGGCACTGCAGCAACAGAGAGCAAGAAGGGGAAATGCACCAAAGCCAGGGTGGCCCACATGGATGGCACTGGTCCAGGTAATACACTCACGCACGATTAGATTGCTATTCCCAGTGAGGACATAAGCTAGAACCTAGTTTGATTTCAGGCTACCCAGGAAAGAGATACATGTGAATATTAATCTGATCTCTACCGGAACAATGGGTTTGTGTCTTCACAGGTGGGATTCCAGTACTCTTTGGATTTGGTGGTATACATTTTATTCCAAACCTCAAAACATATTTGGGTCTTTTTCTGCTTAAATAATAATCTTCTATGCTAAATTTTTATAAGGACATAAAATTGAACATGCTTATAAGTTTAACTAAGTTAATTTTATAAATAAGAGTAGATACAACTTGAACTTCTCAGGAAAACTGAAGATATATGTATATGTTGTATTTGTGAACACAAATGTATCAGCAAAAAGTCAAGAACATTTAAGAATTCTTTCATCTCTACTATATTCTGTTTAACTAGTTATTTAGTTAATTAGTTAAGAGCTAGCTATAATTATGTGGCGACTATGGAGCTAGATCTAAAATGGAAAACTGAGTTTATTAAAAAAAACTGTGATCTTAATTCTTTCCTACTACCCAAGGACATTATTTGTATTCTTTTTTGTCTTTTGGGTTTTCCCCGCTAATTTTACTATGATTCTTGCTTTTTCCAGGTTTTGTTGAATACATTAAAATATTAATATTTGGGTTCATTACAGGTGGTTGATTGCTTTCTAGTTTGTATATGTTGTTTCTTGCAAAAGAAGAAAGCAAAGGTGACTATTACTTCCTTTCCCTTCATTTACCTGCCTATGCTGTCTATAGGATAGAAAGTACAATTAAAATTAGGTTTAACCCTACGCTTCTTAAGATGTATGTTTTTCTGAAAACTCTGCAATGGAAAAGAGTGTTTATGTTTACAAATAGGGCAAGATATGTTTAAGTCGTCATTATCTAATCTGAACACCAATTTGGAACTGATTACTTTGCTGGATTATGAAACAATCTCAGCAGTTTCACAAATAAAAGCTCACAATACACCCATATACTCCCACTTCTGTGCTTTCTTGAAATCCAGTTTACAGTAAGTCTTGTGTAGAATATGCCTTAATAAAAATCAACTTTTTCACATAGAAAAATCATTCTTGATTCAATCAGTCTTCTATTTAATCAATCAAGCAATAATTATAAGGCAGTTGAGAAATGGGAATATTGAAATATACTGGATAACTTGTGAAGGTACTGGAAACACCAGGTTGCTTATGTGATTTTTACAAATAAGAAAAAAAAAACTGAGGTATAAGTAGATTTTGTGCTGAAATTTTATTTTCAAATATTTTAATTTGAATTTCTTATTATGCCAAAGTTCCAACATTGTCATTTTTTTGTTTGTTTTTGAGACAGGGTATTACCCTGTCACCCAGGCTAGAGTGCAGTGGTAGTGCAATCTTGGCTCACTGCAGTCTCAACTTCTGGAGCTCAAGTCTCCCACCACAGCTTCCTGAGTAGCTGGAACTACAGGCACATGCCACCACAGCCAGCTAGGTTTTGTATTTCTTGTAGAGGTGGAATTTTACCATATTGCCCAGGTCAGTCTTGAAATCCTGGGCTCAAGTGATCCACCTGCTTTGGCCTCTCAAAGTGCTGGGACTACAGGCATGAGCCACTGCTCCAGGCCTGTCATTTCTGTTATTTATTTCTCTGAATAGGTGTAAAGGCTTACAAGTTTTTCACTAATATAGAAAATTTTGATTCTGCAATACTGAATAAAAATGTGAGAAACAGTAATTGGGAGAAACATATGTGATAAGTATAGAGTGGATTCACTCAAAATTCTAAGCCTCTTTCTGGGAAGGGTCTCTTTTCCCTCTGTACCTTGTGGGGTATGGGTACAGGACACTGGTAGAGGTGGTGGGATGGACCCAATGCAGCCGTGGGCCATAAAACAATGCAGATCTCATGCACTTTCCTCAATGAGCACAAGTAGGGGAGCCAATGAGTGTTCTGTGAAATATGAAGCCTCAGAAATAAAGGCAGCTCAGGAGCCACATACAGCTCCAGCTGTTCTTGTTTAATGTAAATGTCCCTCTCCAGGTCATCATAGCCTACACCCTCCCTTTGTTACCTCTGCCTGCTAAACCCAGTTATGTGGCCTGCCGAGCCTTGTCTGTATCCATTTGTGTTTCTGACCCCTACAGCAAACAAACACAAAAACAAAACAAAACAAAACAAAAAGCACCAAAAATCCTTCTTCATACATAGCGGAATCATCTCTGTTAAAAAACGATAGTGGCACCCCACTATCCACTATGCCTTATTCAGACACTAGTGTAGTTACTTCAGTCATATCAAAATCCACCAGTACAGTTAATCCAGAGAGG